GCGAGTTGGACAAATTCCCGACAGTTTATCGACCTGTAAATTGTGGGGTCTGAGGGCTGCCTGGTAAAAATCATCGGTATTTGATTGATCAGACCTTGTTATTTGGATGCCCCACATACTCGTGTGTGATATGGTTTATCGTGTGAGGCAATTAATGTATCTTTTGGATGAGTGCGGATATCGTAGGTGCACAGTTTTGTAAAAGAATAATCGACTGTCTACTTAAATTAACCCAGCAGAATTGTTATATATTTATGAATAAAACACGGATCGTTGTTGGATGAGGGTGGCATCAGGCACGATACTGCTTTCTGATTTCTTTAGCCATTCTTACAATGATTAGTGCAAGCCTGCGCTGCGTCTATTCAAATGGGTTTCATGGTGTGAACTAGCTAATTAAATTGAAAAAAAATTTTTACGTGACATCAAATTATTCAATGATTCAACATGTTTGCCACGAACTTGATGTTTAATTCGTGTGCTGGTCAGAAATGTCGCTGCTTGGGAAGGTTTGGGAAACAATTTAGAAACCATTCATTTAAAATAGTATGATAAAACTAGTCTGAGGAGTTATAGGTTAATTCAAAAATCACTCGAAGGACAACATTTTAGGCACTAATAAAATAAAGCTATTTCTGCCAGTGTGGGAAGATAATTTGTGTTCTCAGTTGCATCTTACCTCGTCTACCACAAATTATAACTTCTGCAGTGGACTTGTTGATTAAGGTTCCAGACCTAACTTGGTGCACTAAATTTACGCATTTAATCGACTAAATGAGCAATTTGGGATCATCAATAAATAAAAAGTCTTTTGAGTGATAAGAAATGATCTGCTGTCTTAAATGTCGATCTCTGTAACAAAGGAAGCAGGACTGAACGGTGTCAGTCCATCTGCAGAGGATTACCTGGAACCAGCCAAAACAAAAATCATGCCGATTCCAATTTTCAACTTGCTAGATTTCCATTCCTATTTGGCTCCTTAATTTTTTTAATTTGAACAAAGCTCTAAGACAAACCTCTTCAATTAAATGTAAATCTACACCTAACTTTTAATTTCATCGATAAGTCTGAGTGATATTTTATAAGATATACCTGCTAAAAGTCATGAGATTTAATGTACCAATATAAATAAATCAAAGAATAATGTACTGTAAATTTTGTCACTAAATTAAACATACGCCTACTATGGGCCGAATAGAAATACTAATCAACGCAAAATGCCCAAAGAGTATTAATGAATTTTGTAATAATTAAGCTTTAGCTAAAACTCTACAAAAAAATGACGAATTTCTACGAAAAAACCTCATTATTGAATGGCTGAAAGGAACAGCTTGACAAATAATCCTTCGTACGTGCTAATGTTTGGAAAGTTTATTGTTTACAAAAAAATTTTTGTTAGAACCTACAAAGACTCCAAAACACGTCTGCAACTTCAGATCTAATGTAAGCGTTTTGTCTTCTTTCAGTCATATATCGTTAGCAATAGTAACAATTTAATCTAGGCAATAGTTTGAGTTGATTTCAATTTCAATTAAAGACTTGAAGCAAACTGATTTTTTCGACAGTATAAAGTAGAAAATGTGTTCAGGGAACTAAAATAAAAGAAAGGTTTGTGATGTTTTTAAAACCATTCCTGAAGTAGTCTTTTGTAAAAACGGGATGATAATAGTAACTATTTTGCCCAAAATGTAATTAAGGTCAAATGATCATGATCTAGCCCGCGAATTCAAAAATTATTATAAATGGCTTTAAATGTTAATGAGTCAGAGTGTGTGCGCATCAGAATAAAAGTAAATGATTTTTTTATCTTTTAATATTCAAATTTGTAATTTTTTTTACAGTCGCTCTATATTTGTGCCGATGTACCAGTAGCACAATTGCGATCTTTATTTTTTTTCACCGCTAGTTATGAGCTGTGGGTGCTGGCTAACACCACACACAAAGCACCTGTATTTTTTGTTTTCTGAAACTTTGTTGGTTACTGCATCGCTGCTGACGTACTCGGCCACACATGATTTTGTGGAGAGTACATTAACCACATCGTTTGCCTCTTCAGTATCTTGCCGTGATTTTGTTCATTGTATTTGGTACTTTTTAAACTGAAAATAAAGGTTCTACCAAAAGTTCATGGTTAATTTTAATTCTTCTAATACATGATAGTGCACTAATCTGCTGCCTGTCAATTCTTGATACATTTAGGTAATCTTGGGTCATTCATAAATACTCCGGTCTAATGCTAACGTCATATTTTTTTAAAATAATTTTTGTGTTTACTTCATAATATTTAAATCATCTAGGACCATCCCGTCTCTTTCATATTTAAGACAAAAATTCTCAATTATTTTTTTTGTTCCGCAGATAATTGCTTGTCTTTTTGTTTATCTGCTGTTATTCCGTTTTTAGTTCACGTCCTTTGATGGATCTCAATCGTACTGCCAATTTTCTGTGGATCCCAAAATAACAACTTATTCCACTTTGGTAGATTTGGTTCGGCATCGATTTGATACCACTAAGTAAATCCCGTTACCGTGTACCACTTCACTTATGAGTTTACCGAGTGTGCACGTTAATTTTATTTTTCTCCAGATTTTTACTATAAGTGGGGCCATTTTAGGTAAATTGTGTTTGCTGAATTTCTTGTACCTCATCATAGAATGCTTGTAAATGTGCCATGAAATTACTCAATACCTTCGAAGTGAGAGCAGTTTCCTGCTTTCATTTATGCTCATAGTACCCTGTGTTGGAGCTCTGCATTATTTCATATTTATTCGTTACTTCATAAGTCTGCGTTTCCTCTTAGCGATTTTTCAGTGAGTTACCTCGCGGTAGACAAGTACGGCGAACAATCGTATTACCCCCTCCAATCAGACATCGACCTTGAGGAGGCTCTGATACGGTGCCCGGACTCAACTCTCCGACTATTTATTGAAGCCAAACCCAGAACTGAAGGTGCGTTATGGCCTGGCACAAAGAGCACTGTTTATGCATTGTTGTCGCTTAATTTTAACCGGACTAACTCTGCTTGGAGTGAAATGTTTAGACCCTACGATCAGCCTTCCCTGCGCTCCGTCCTTAGTAATCTCCTTTCCCATAACACTGTTATTAACCACTCAGAAGCCGAGTCCGCCCACGCATTGTAATCTCCTGTGAGCAAGTTAAATTTTCTTAGCATTTTGCATAGTTCTCAGCAAGTAAATTGTTGCTGTAGTAACAATTTTATTATTCTAAAATATCGAGCAGATTTTTGTTAACCGAAGAAGCTACCACGTAGATTGTTTTAAATTTTTTATTTGATAATTTGGCAGCTCGTTTCAGATATCAGGGAGGCGATGGAATGCTGTGAGGTAAAAGATGTTTTTAAAGCGCGCCATAGAAACAGCGAATTGAGGCTGCCTATAGACAAGAAAATCGATCATCTAATTGCCACGTTAAATGCTCAAGTGCCCTCTAAATACCCTTTTAATCGGTTTCGTCTATTAACTGTTCCAATCTTTATTTCAACGCGCTAGAAGATTGGGACATCGTGGAGAAGGATGAAGTGGCCGCGTCACGCATCGAGGGCACCAAACTCCAACAGGACGGCAGCATGACCGAACAGCAGAACTCCTCCGCACCCAAGTGGTCCCCACCAATCTCACCCACTCACTTGGCCTCCTCCATTCGTTCGGTTTTGGTCGGCTCGAATTTCCTTCAAAATGTCTCACAACAGATCGGAAAAACTGTCACCTCCATCGAAAAAGCGATTGGTTAGTGCACGCGTTCGTTAACTGAAGTATCTTGTGTATTTATTGGCTTAAATCAAATGAGATCTTCCCGCATATTGCGTACCGAAATTGCCCATTCTGTATTATGTGTGTTTCGTAAAATTAGAAGCTTTCCTTTCTTGGCAATGTAGATTGTGCTCCAGCTACTGTTCAAGTCTAATTGCAGTGCACTTAATTGCGCGTTCCAGTGTTCCCGCAAAATTATCGTGTTACAGCCTACTCCACGTTCTCCAGTCACTTTAAATTAACTCTTCTGTTAAGTTCAGCAAGGCCCGGGAACATATTTGTGTTTTTCGATTTGTATTTTTATAAAAACACTTGAAATTTTTGAAGTTAAGTCAATACTTGATCGAGATCAAACAAAATACTCCCTGATCTGCTCTGGAATCAATAATATGGAGCAAACTGTAGATGTCTATATATTTACACAAGTCCTTACACTTTACTGGCATTTGTGCTCTTGTAAATTTAGGTAATGGTCGTCCCCACTTCGTCTTATCCATAAAACTATATGTACTTTCTAATGTTTTCGTAGGGCCTGATGCTTCACACACAATAGCAGTGATTCATTCGCGGGTCTTTTTTTAAATTAACCGTTTAATTGACCTCGACTCGTTCTCGGCACTCTCATTTTAGTTTTAATTCACCATAGTTGCTTATTTTCATCCATTCACGGAATGCGAAATTTGACTGGGCTTTTTTAAGTGCCTTCTGCTTAATCCTTCCAGGTCTGAAAATCCCCGCTACGCCTCCACGTCCGCCAATCTGCGACGCGGAATTTCGTCAGTACATGGACAATCTGGGGAGGATTGTTCACCCAACTGAATTTTAGTGAGTTCTTAGCGACCTTGCTTAATATCTCCTAGTTTTCACTTAGCAAACTTACCGTCCAATCCGTCAAAGTGTGCTTTAACACGCCCCTGTCCACACTGCCTTCGTTTTGACTGGTTGAGAACTTTTAGAAGCACGTGATTGGCCCATGCCAATGTAGAATTGTCATCGAATCACAGTTCACCTCTGGGCTGCTTTTGCTTACTACGTGGAGATGATGATGTTGGTTGGTCTTTCGTGATAGAAAAATGCGCGTGTTGCCAAATCGCCACATATCAACCGCCTCACGTGTTTCCTTGTAACTTGTCACATTTCCTTTGACAATGGTTGTTTTTATAGCCGCAAGCTTGCTAAATGTGCGTTTCGCGTTTTCATGCTTCATGTTGGACATTTAATGAGTCCTGATCCAACGCGGATTTTTGCCTAACCACAAACAACTAACCAATTCGCACTCAATACGCGCTTTGTTTAAATTGATCGAAATCCACCCAATGAGACTTTGGTATATTCCCGAAATGACATAACTGATAGCAACTAAGTACCTAGGAGTATAACTTCTGAGAGTGCTTGTACTTTTATTTCAAAGTCATAAATCCCGCTTAGCTTTAAGTGAGAGGGCGTTAAGGTTGTTGCTTGAACACGCTGATGGCATCGAGTCAGGGCCAATCAGATACCCAGAAAGACAAGTAAGAGACCGTCGATACCAGCGACACGCCCGTTTACTAGATACCTCAACCTGCGTAGTGTACTTTTCGCAACTGGGCATAAAAATGTCTTGGACTAAATGGATTTGTGAATCAATACAGTCTACAAGTACAAATGCTTAAACGGTCAGATGAATGAAATGCAGAGGATGTCCAAGGAGATGGTTCTCATAATCAATTGGAATGGCTTGAAAATTTGGCAAGGATGGTGAAGAATGAGATAACCGGGCTATTGCACGTGCGTTGCTACGTTTCACTGCAAACACAATGATGATTCCATTTTGTGCTAACTCTTCAAATTGCAGTAACCAGCCTGTTGTCTTTAGTTCGCTTAAACAATGTTATTTTGGGGCATTCGTCGCATTCTTTATCCCAGTCGATTCACCTACCTTCCCATTTTTTGTTCATTTAAGTGTTTACGTTTTTAACGTTTAAATTATCGTCTCTCAGTAAAACAGGTTGTGAGCAACTAATAACTACCAAGTGGTTCCACGAACTTCAGACTTGCACCCAATTCAGGTTGTTTTTCTTGCCATTTTTTCCGAAATCTCGAGTCAATCGCTTTCGTCCCATTTCCAGTGCGCCAGTACACCAATGGGCGGATATTAGTAATTAACTTTAGACTTGAATCATAACAAGAAAGCAAGTTTGAAAGGTGGATTGAAACTACACCCTGTTAATTGCCTCATTTTCAGTTCACGCCGTGGTAATTACTAGGGAAAATCGATAAAAATGAACTTCCAGCCAATGGGAGTGTAGGATTGCCCGAATTGTCTAAATCTTCTCCCTTCACGTGTGTGTGTGTGTGTGTGTTTTTATTGATTGCCGCTGTGCTCTTTCAGTCGCAACGTCTACCTGGGCGGCATAGAGCCGAGTCTGCGAAAGGTGGCCTGGCGCATCCTCCTCAACGTCTACCCGGTTGAGGTCACGGGAAAGGAGCGCATAGCCCTGCTCCACAGCAAGGTCGCCAAATACGAGTCGATGAAGGTAGCGTGGAAACGCGCCTACCACGAAGGACGCCTGAGCAAGGCACAGATCGATGCCATCGCCTTGGCCAGCGTCGATGTCGTGCGAACTGATCGAAGTAAGCTCCTTACTGTCGAGGCTGGGGCATTGTTGATGCTGATGTCCATTTTTCCTCCTTACTTTCAATTCCATCCTTCCTCTGCTAGCTTAAGTCGTTTCTTTTCGTACATCCTCCCCAAGTGAAGCACGCCAAGTCTAAGACTACGCTAATTCATAATTTCTATGCTGTTGTTGCCATGGCTGCGTGTGTGGAGTTTGGCATTAGCGAGTTTGCTGCGTCAATCAAGGCGTGTTGTCATCTGTGTCGCTTTACTTTGGTGTTCGCTGTCACCACTTTTGTAATTGTCCACGCATTGACTGGTTAGTTTTGCTTTACTTCAGTCGATAATATCTTCCGTTATTTACTCCCTAGCGCATCCATTTTACAAGTGTGATGACAAAAATCTGCGTGTATCGCAACTCTTCAATATTCTTGCCACCTATGCAATTTACCACCCTGGCATCGGCTATCACCAAGGTAACCTTATTTGTTAATATACGATACAAATGTGAATTTTTGGTTACTAAGTGCTGCTGTTTTGGATCCATTGATAAGTCATTTCGGTTGGTAGTTGGTGAAATTGTGAAGGCATTAATCGTCGTGTACTTCGAATTAACAAATCTCTACACGATAATTAAATCCACCGATGTTAAGGCGTCAGTTTGCAACGGGACTTTTTCTTGATTTAAGTTGACCTTGACACATGAATGTCATTGGTTCTCGATGCACGTTTGGCTCTGTGTCTGCTGTCACACCGTAGATGGTGCGATTTTGAATGTGTTGCTTGCTGTGATGTGATCAACTTATGACAACTTCCACGCGCCATTGAGTCTGTAATTAGTAACCTCTTACTTGGTTTCCATCAGCTCGGCAGCCTTTGTCATTTTGCCGTGGTTTCTAATCCTCAACTCAAAGGTACCTTTTCGACCGTTGTAGGCATGTCCAATCTGGCCAGCCCGTTGCTTTACATTCAGGATAGCGAAGGTGCCGCTTACGTTTGCTTCTGCGCTCTGATGCGACGCCTTGGACCCAAATTCACGCCGCACGTCGACCAGTTGACCATGTTCACTCAACTCCAACACCTGCACGACCTCCTCGTCTTCACGGACTACGAGATGGCGCAGTTTCTGCGTCTGCACAACCTCGGCAACATGTTCTTCACGGAACGTTGGCTCCTTCTCGAGTTGGTGCGCGAGTTCTCCTTCGAGCAGGCTCTTTACGTCTCCGAGGTGCAGTGGGCGGCCCTAGCTCTCGTCTGTTCCACGTGGCCCAGCGTCGATCCCGTCTCGCTGTATCACCAAAACGGTCACAACCAGTTGTCCGAGGAGCTGGCCACCGTGGTCTTTGAGGACTCAGCCAAACACTACACACGCTGCGACACCAAGCTCATCAACAGTCTGGTCGGCGAGGAGTTTCTCTATAAGCTGCCTTGCGCCTCGCCTGGCACAACCATCGCCTCCGCTTCGTGTTCGCCGCCAACCGAAGCAAAGCGCGTGAGCAGGCCAGCTCACGAGGGTGACCCGGTGCACATGAAGGACTGGGTGGTGGAACTGCCTGCTCCCGATGTGCTCGGGGGTGGGAATAATCCCTTTCTTCTCTTCGTTTGCGTCTCCATGTTGCTGGAGTACAAAGATGAAATTTTGGCGGAGGTGCGCGAGCCCAGTGATCTCTTTCACTTCTTCCAAACTCGCAACAAGCGTCACAATCCCGTGAGCATTCTGAACCGAGCACGTTGCCTCTTCGATGCCTATCTACGTCAGCAGGAGGCCAGACGCCGTGAACTTGCCGAGGGTCCACGAATGCAGCATCTCTAGGAAGCGTGACTGTTCGTGTCTTCTCTTTTACCGCGTACCTGTGTCTGTACATAATCGATATTTCTTGTATTTTATTTACTTCTGACAGATCGTTTTTTCCTGGTTTTATGCACACTTCTGATACTTCATCACTTTTTCTCAAATTCTCTTCTTTGAAAAAAGCAAGATTCAATTGAAGCCAGATTAAACTTTGACGTACTTTTTTTTCGAGGCGGAATTCGCAACTTGTCTGAATAATCCATCCAGTCAATATTACGCGGAACCTCTTGTGGTGTTGGCTTTCAGGAGAGAAATGGTGTTAGTCAACCCCGTTTACACCCCAATTAAGAATCATGAGTCGGATCGATTGGTGATTCGTGGGATTGTGGGAACATCATTTACCCTGCACTTCGACGTAACAATGTTCTGACACATTCACCATCCTTTCAGAATTGGCCAACTCCGATCCTCAGCCTTTTCAATCATCATCAACTCCGGAAAAAAAATTTCGAGGAATTTGTAACACTACGGTGAACAATTTCAAAGATTCTGTTTTCCTGGGTGATGGGTAAATATCATGGGACTGGAATGGCTTTTCCAACGACTCTAAAAACGTATTCAGCGTTCTCTACTGCCTCATCATTTACATTTGATTTTGAAGGCGAAATGTCCTAGGCGTTTAAACACTCTGGACTGACAGAATTGGATAAAACGGGGACTTGTCTACTAACTAATTCAGAAATTAAATGTTCAAAATGTTTGCAGTCCAATCGGGTCGGAAGATAGATCCCGGCTTTTTTGCGAATTCTCGACTTTGTGGTCAAATTACACGAGGTGCCACACGAAAACCCAGGAAGTATCTGTGTTTTCATTTTTACCATCTACTGCTGCAAATTCAAACGAAACCACGTAGGCTGCAATTGCCATAACACCGTTTACAATCATTAACCAATGTGTGCTCAGGAAAGTAACAAAAATATACCGTCCTTACGACTGCAATTAATCAAATTTAACAGGCAATGATAGTAGCCAATCACCTCGCAGAATTTCAATTACCTACCGGCGCGTTTTCAAAGTAGAGTGGGCTTCTCAGATCACCGCTCGGCACTCATCACTTATTGAAAAGAACCGCGTCCACTTTGTGGATCATACACCTATATTGAACAGGGTTGCATCACGTAGAGTAGATGGTGATGGTGAAATGATTCATGTGACACCAACGATGCACACTGAAACCTGTCACTTTAGTGACAAGTCAGTGCCATAAGAACGAGCACACCTAACTTTTGAAGCACGCTCCTAACAAGACGAATTTTGCTAGATACCGTTCAATCACATGTCTGCAGCGCGTGACTTTCCTTCGTGTGCTGTCTGAATTGACGCTCAGACGTTTGTAGTTCTACGTTGCTCAAAGACATGAGGCAGAGCCACGGTTAGACTCACTCTTGACGCGTCTTTTTCTTAATCCAGAATGGAATTAAGTAAATTTATTTGAAGTTTTGCGACGCGCCGATTGAATACAATGGATTTGTCAAGAATCTATTTCATTTTTCTTTAAAACATTAAACTGTAATCAATTGCACATCCGTAATTTTGTTGTCAGCTGTGATCATCTGCAAGATAAATAGGACGATTAAATTGTGTACGTGGAGCCGATTTGCTATCTTCAAGAAACTTACAATAACAGCTTCTAAGCCAATTTGAAGAATTATATTAGATTCGCAAATGTTTTTAATTCGGTCGTCAGTAATTTACCTATTCTCCCAGACACATTTCTGACGGTCTGAGGTCAAATTCGTATTTCCTAGGTTTACCTTGTCAGACTAAATCAATAAATCGATATTTCCGCAATTTAAAATCTTCCTCAACAAAGAAACCTACCTGAAATCCTTTTGAGTACGTTTGCGGCGCAACATGGAGCCACCAAAACTTGAGTACTCGACTCAAGGTCCACACGTCCGAAAAATTCTGTATTATCTGGACATTGAAGACGATGATAGTGAACAGAAAGACGTGAGCTTGTGTTCAGACGTAAATTTTACCCATTAGCCTGATGCCCAAACAGGGTCGTGTTCATCAACCGAACTGCAGAGTAAGAGCGAAGCGATTGGCTCATCTTCTGCCAATCACGGAAGCTGCGTAAGTCCAAGAAATTTGCGTTGGGTCAGCCAAAATCAAAGGCAGTTTTCTCAGCATGTTTTGCCACTTAGAGTCTTGGGATTTTGTACACCAAATTAGCAGGGCTGCTGCTCCTCGTTCGATTTTTAATTTTTTTTAGCGGAACCATGTAATGGTCACTAATCGTGTTGCCTTTGGCATAATCAGCAAGCACACTCAATTTCTAATGATATTTATGCACCCTACAATTTGATCTTTTGATGTTTGTAGGTTATTTTTATTTGCTGGTATTTAGGGAGGTTTCGGGTGAAAATCTGCCATGGTTTAGTGTTTACCAACCTAACGTCTGAAAAGGGTGTTTTCAACATACTTTTAATTATTCCGAAAGTATCGCAGTTGTAGTGAGGATGTACATTTGCGTGTTTCAATTTCTGATATTTCACTTAGTTTAGTCAGTTTAATTAGAATCCAAACACAACTTAAAATGAGGTATAAATGTAAAGGATTTCAGTTTAAAATTTCCACCCTTCTCCTCAAATCTAATTGGTCAACATAATGCGATCTAACACATAAACCGCTTTTTTGCACATTAAGAACCTAATCAAAATTACATAAAGTGTGTGAGGATGAAGCGGGTTCGTTTCATGCAGTTGACTTTTATGAGCCTCAAACTAGTGCCCTGTCAATCAGTATCTGATAGGTTTCAAATGAGCACCTGTTACCGCAAACGCATCCTTGCTAGTCGAGTATATTAAATGCATTTCCACAATTCACATAGGTTGCTAAATTAAGCGTTTTCGCCTCGTTTTAGTTCATAAAGTGGTTTAAGGACCCAGAAAAGTTGAAAAAGGAATATCGTGTGCTCCGCAAGATGTCACACAAGAACATAATACCACTTATAGGAATTCACGAACCTCCGGAAGGCCACCTGCATGGTCTTGGTACATTTCACATTGTCGTATTTGGCTTGATAGAATCATAATCTCATGTCCTGTAACGTTTTGCCCTAGTTTTTCCTCTGCTTAATAGAGGGTAAGGCAAATTTGTTTGTCGACGTACCTTTTAAAGAAATCTGCAGGCCCTGATTCAGGCACACGGCAATTTAACCGAAAATCAGTGCCTCTTATGTTTCAATGACCTACTTGAGGCCATTGTTTACAGTGAGTTCTGATTTCAGCCCAAACAATTTAACCGTCTACTGTGCATTTGCTAGTAATGTGTTGTTCCTCTTCCTCAAGTCCACTCCATCGGCATCATCCATCGTGACATAAAACCCGAGAACGTGATGATCGGCGACAACCACGAGATGCTGGTTCGTTGGCATTTTCTCTAATTTTCATCAAGTTAATCGACTTTGAAATTAGTGTTGCACTAGAGCCAGGCGAAGACGATCTGGTTCGAGGAACACTTGGAACACCTGCGTTTCTCGCTCCTGAATGCACTCAAGCCACTGGAGAAGCTTATTCTGGCAAAGTGAGTATGCAATTTGGAATTGAGCTTCATCATCACCACAGAAGGCAGATGTCTGGTCTGCTGGAATCACTCTAGCCTATATGCTCACCGGCAAGGTAAGCGCGTTAACGTGGAGTGCTTTATAGGCACTGAAAGCTACTGTACGACGGCCTTACCAAGTACGACGTCATGGAGGCCATCAGAACGGAGCCTATTGATGTTAGAAAGTGGTAATTTAACCAAAAAACCAGGCACGGTTTCGGTCCACAGTCCTCTTTTTAGGACAATCAGCGAGGAAGTCGTCGATTGTCTAGCTTGTGCTCTTTCCAGGGATCCAGATGAACGCCACAGTGCTTTGAAGCTCAAGGTACGCTTACTCCTGGACTGGTTATTTGTAATGTTGCACTAAATGAGATTGGCAATTTCACGTGGTAGCATTACCGAATATTTCCAGTCACCCAGTATCGCTCAAACCAACGAACCGCTCAACATTACTCAGCGGTTGTAGTTTCCGCAAGATTGCAAGCCTTCCATGGCACCAGACAAGATCTCAGTTGTCCATGAAGTTAAGACTAGCTTTTGGAAGCGTGAATTGTGGTTGCCTGATGCTAAGTTTCGACTTTTTATAAGCAAATGATCAAACAGAAGACATCTGACCTGGCTTGCCGCACAACCGGACACCACTGTCAGTGCTCCATACACGCATTTGACCCGTCAGATTCCGTTCTGACACAGTTGCTACGTGGGACCAAATGGCTTTTAGTTTTAACTTTGCTTAATCGGCGATTCAAACACCAACAAGACCACCACCAACACCAATCGGCGAATCGCCCAAGTCCCAAGAATTTCGAGCTCTACAAGACAGCGCCATCATCCAGAGTATCTGTGTATACTTCACCAGACCAGCTCGTCTGGTAATGAGCTGCAAATTCACACGAAACGTTGAACCAGTAGATGGAGGCTCTTAGAGGAAATACAGTGGTACTAACTTCACTTCGCCCCCCCCACTGGCACTACTCAAGAGACAACAAGTAGTAGGTGTTGCTGTTTCTTTTTCTTGTTCCAGGAAATGCCATGGCTAAGAACAACCACACGTCTGACGCCGGTCGCGAGAACACCGATAATCGCGTGGCAACATTAAAACGATAACACTGGCAAGTTTACAATAGAAGGTTACAAAATGATGATGATGTGGATGGCGGCGGCGGCGGCGGGGGAGGAGGAGCAGGAGGAGGGTAACCGGTGAAAGTCTATTGCTGGGCCTCTCGGTCCGCCACCTCACCTTCTTGCTGTTGCTGCTGTTGTTGTTCCTGCTTCTTTTGCTGGCGCTGTGCAATCCGATGCGCGCACCTCTCAAGGATGCGTTTTGCCTCGCATTCAGGGAAGTTGGCCATGTCGTAGTACTGTGGCGCAATACGTATCAACCTGGGAGGAAGAGATGAAGTCAACATAGCGTTACAACACTCAAGCGTTTACCTAAATAGCGGCGGCGTGCTTGAAGGCCCAAATACGCGATGTATGGACTTACCAATCAGGTTTGACTTCGGTGACGGTGCGGATGTAGTTCTTGGTGGTGAGCACGAACTCGTTGTACAGAACCCATTCAGGTTTGTGGTCGAGCACTGTCGAGGGATGCAGCTGTACGACCTGATTGTCCTTCACTGTCAAGTAGTGGCCGGTCCGTTCCAAGTGTGCAATCTACAAATCAAATCAAATGGGTGACGCTATGGTACTGAGCACACACACAGCTCATGGGAGACAACACCGAGATCAACGCACTTCAATTCTAGCCAACTCCGAGTGCTGTACAACCACATACCTGCATGAAGAAGCCAGAAACGAGAGCCTTGCGAATGTTGAGGTAGTAGTCACGTGAGGTGAATTCGGTGCTTGAACGTCGGAGGGAGAACCGGTCCATGATGCGAGACAGCTGGACTCGCACGTTGTCCGCCGACTTGAGAGATCGCAGATTGATGAAATTATCGTAGCACCACTGGGGATCCTCGTGGTCTAATGGGGTAGGTAATACACGCTTATTTGGCGCTAGGGCATTTTCCACAAACTACAAATCACCATTCCGAGTTGCATTCCATCCATACCGATAGCGATACGCAAAGCGATACCACCGGTGACCATAGCACAGTTACTGCAACCGCCATCCAGCGTTTAAGTAAGCCCCAAAACAGAATAAAAAATGTTCCAGATGGGATCAGCAGTAATACAACAACCGCTAGGGTGCTTACTTTGTTTAAACGCGTGGTAAACATTGAGCAAGGTCAAATGGTCGCCATCGATGTGAGCGAACCGCATTTTTGCCTCGTCAGCGGCCTTCTTGGCATCAGCTGGCCGAACGAAACACTGGGGCACTAAAAGGAGATGTCAAAAAAAAAGGGCAAACAGTAAATGCCAAACGACACACACACAGAAATGTTCACATTGAATAGAATTACAATCCGCATGGCATACCCGAGAGCATAGCAGTAATACTCAGAACTTCATTGGAGCAGTTGTAGTCACACGAGGCGATAACCATCTTCGCCAGTTGTGGATCAAGCGGGAACTCCGCCATCATGCTACCCAGATCCGTCAGGTTGCCATCATCATCTAAGGCAGCTAGGTAGTTCAACAGCTCCAGGGCTCGCATAAGTGTCTCCGGAGCTAAAGAAAGTAGATTTCAGTCATTAAAAAGTGCCCGACTGCATGGTGACTGATAAGTAAAGAGGAGGAAATAACCTGGTGGGTCCATGAAGTCGAAGTGGACGAGATCGTCGATGCCCAGTTTTTTTAGCTGGAGCACCACAGTTCCGAGGTTGGAGCGCAGGATCTCGGGGTAGGTGTTGTCCTGCATCTCCTGACGGTAGGCTCGTTCCGTGTAGAGGCGGAAGCACTTCCCTGGACGCGTACGACCAGCACGGCCGGCCCTTTGCTGCGCCGAGGCCTTGCTAATGGCCGTGACGAGGAGCGATTCGACGCGGATGCGAGGGTTGTACACCTTCTGCTTGGCGAAACCGGGGTCGATCACAAACACGACGCCATCGATGGTGAGAGACGTCTCAGCAATGTTTGTGGATACCACAACCTGAACGGCGTAAGGCAATGATTACGTCCGAAGTTTGAGGGGACTTAACGGGCTTGCTTAAGGCCCCTCGCAGTAGTTAACCTACCTTTCTTCCAGCTGCCCCATTTTTCCGTCGAGGTGGTGGAGGATCGAAGATTTGCTGTTGCAGGTTAGGTGGGAGAGTGGAGTAGAGCGGAATACACCGTAGTTCGCCAGCCTCCGGTCCAAGAGACTCGACCTCGCGCTGAATGCGTTTGCATGCCTCTTCAATCTCCTCTTGACCGGTTAAGAACAGTAAAATATCTCCCTCACTTTCTTCGCACATGTGTATTTGAATGACGGTTCGAATAGCTGCCTCCAAGTAGTCTCTTTCAGGTTCCTGAGTGTAGAAGATCTCCACTGGATGCGTCCTACCGGGCACCGTAAGCAAAGGCGCATTGTCGAAGTAATCCTGTGGGTTGAAAAAAAACAGACGACAACATTACCCATGAATTCAAATGCACAAACAAAAACGGCACAGTTGCAGGGATAGACATTAAAAGCTCACCTGAAATTTGCCGGCGTCAAGAGTTGCACTCATTACCACTATCTTTAAGTCGGGCCGCTGACCTATAATCTCTTTAAGCAAACCCATAAGAATGTCTGTGGCAAGAGTGCGCTCGTGCGCCTCGTCCAATAGGATGACGCCATAGTTTTCTAGCAGCGGGTCGGACATGCCTTCTCGAAGGAGCATACCGTCTGTCATGTATCTATGTAGAGCAGAAGGGAAGCAGAAGACAATGACTAAATAAACTGTCCGGATACCCTGTTGTTCTTTTTGTTGATTAGAGTGGCCACATCCACACTAAACAGCTCTACTCTACAAGGTTTACCTGCTGCAGAAAACTCTAATCACACAGTTTAAACACGCACATTTATGGAATAAATAAAGATCACTTACTTCAACACAGTATTATTTGATGTGCAATCTTCGAAACGAATGCTGTAGCCCACATGGTTACCAAGCTGGCAGTCCATTTCTTCGGACACGCGCTGGGCGACAGACATTGCAGCAACACGACGCGGCTGTGTGCACGCAACACACTTCTTCGAGGCATAACGCGATTTCAGCCATTCTAGGCACCACTGGGGAATTTGTGTGGTTTTGCCAGACCCCGTCTCGCCAACAAGCACAGTAACTTGGTTGTCAGTTAGTGCTTTTAGGAACTGTTCCTTGTATTCCCAAACGGGAAGTTGAATCCGTTTCCGGAAGATATCAAAGTAACGTGGGCTGAAAGGATGACCTAAAATTCGGCATAAAGGACATCAGACAGAAAAAAGTGGGTTTTTGGAAAAAACACAGACCATTATGAAGCACCAATCACAACAAGCTACTTAAATTAGCTACCAATGCTATATAAAACAGGTGGTCTTTCTTCCACAGTTCATTAATACTTAATACGCACTGTGTAGTCTCTATAATTTAGTCTTTTTACGATAAAAAGGCAAAAATCAACGTCTACATACTAGAAATACATAGCCATCATAACAAATCACCTGTGTAAGGGTTGACTTGAACAGAGGCATTTGGCATCACTCGAATTTGAGAACGATCTCGGTCGGAGCGACGGTCCTTCCCCGAATCATCGGAATCCGAAAACCTTAAAAATAATAGTATAAAAAAATTCTTTTACTTTGATCTCCTGTTTCCCCCCTCACCGATATCAATGCGATGGCGAGAGGACATCGAAAAAACGCGCCAGACTTAAATGTGGCGGTTAACGGTTTGAGAGGTGAAACAAAAAGTTTCAATGTACAGAATTCAAGCATTTTTCTTTTTTAACTTTTTCATTATTCCCCAAAAAATACATTAAAAAGTGTTAAAAAGTATTTAGATTTTTGGCTTCCGATATTTTCTTTGCTGTCGGGTTATTAAATTTTAATTTTGACTTAGACCATATCCGAAACATAGTAAATAGAAAAAAAATTTGTATATTAAATTCTATTATCTTATAACTGGAATCATTGTGACCAATAATTATGCACGTTATTCGCTTTGAGTGTTTGGTAACCTGCTATGTCAACGAAATTTCGGCACTTCAAATTATGTTTGTAAAAGCCGTAAATTATTCAATAAGGCACCAGTTTTATTAAATCATAAGATTCAAAAATGAGTATGAGGTAGCAAATGCTCAAACATAACGATACATATATTACCTGTCGCTTTAGTTTTCTTCATTACTTAGTTTTAGGCACAGTTATTTGGGTTTTGAAATAAAGTTTAGCACCGTCATGCTTTCTAGGGATGGTAATGGTTGCGGAAGTTTGAAATACAGTGAATACCTGAGTACTCATTTTTCCATTAGGTAGTCGAAATGACAGCAGCCAAGTGATCTGTGTGGTGCGAATTCGCAAATCGGAATATTTGGTTTATTAATTTATTTGATACATTATTTTTAGTTTGAATTTCGGGTGGAGTGACGAAAGCCTGTGACTCAGAGTTGATTACTAAGACACCTGCAGACTACCCTTTTCCCTGAGCACGCCTCGACGGCACGTCCAGTGGTTTTAAGCATTTACCAATATGCTTGATACGCTGATTCACATGCGTTTTGTTGCTTATCGTCATATCGTGATATGACACTTGTATCGGTATTTTACGAATTGGAATGTGTAGAAATGCAGCTCAAGTAAACTCTAATATGCGTCTTGTATACAAGTAACATGTTTTACTAATCTCAGTCAAATGTCTGATGCAGCGGCAGCAGCAGCATTGGCAGTGTTCATTTTTTCATATAATCAAGTGATACAGCATGCTTTGGTGCATTTGTAATACCTTGATTTCTAAAGTATGATTTAGTGATTGGCAAGGTGGTGGTGTTGACAGTAGCTGGGGCCTCCTTCCATGTGGACACGGTGGCATGCCGACTACCACACGGATACTATGGGAGAAGGGATTACTAAGATGTTTGAGTAATGGGTCAAGCAGGCTGGCGGTCATATTTTGCCTTCGAGTGTGCCTAATTGCAGTATGCACGTCATGGATGAGCATGGACACATGACGTAGGCCGTCATTGGATCATGTGACCACTACAGGAACCTCGTGGTAATCTCTTCACCCATCGTATCCGTGTGCTAGAAGGCATGCTGTTTGCGTCACCATAGAAGAATGTCGTTGATATTTGAAACACCACCGCAATCATGAAGTACAACCGTGAGACGACAATGCACATTGCGTAAAATAAGTTGAGTGAATGCAGTTGGATTAATAACGGAAGGTGAACGAGGATTCTGGATCCTGCTGCAAGCAGTAGCACAACCACAACAACTTCAAGGTCTTTGCGTCGGTTCAGATGAGTGTCTGATTTTGGTATGGAGAAGATGCATGAATTACGTTTGTGTATCCAGTTTTGGTCTGTGGCAAAACTTCAACAACTTCGAGGTCTGTACATCAAAAATGTGATTGGGCTATTTCACGAATGATGCCTGAATCATGCACTCTGATTCGGTGCAGAGGTCAATATAAATCGTGTCAATGAAATAGGGACAAACTTATGTGAAGACGAAAGTCAATAGACTGCACGCATCTTTGTGCCACATCAGTTAAGAAAAAAACATCAGTTTAGCAGGCGCTAAATGGCCCGTCATCGTTGCGAGGATCTGAATAACTCGTCTTGAATCGGACGGCTTGGACATTACTATTGTGTTTCACCTATGGTAGGTATAATGTTTTGTTCAATTGCATTTCGAGTTATCGCAGTTCTCCAGTCACTTTGTCAACCAACCTCAATCCATTTTTTAGCTTTGCAGTGCCTCGTATACTGAGGTTTCCTGTCGATTAACGTCCCACACCGGAGATTGCAAACTTGCCTCACTCATACGATAAAGCACACTTTTATGGCAACCCTTGATAAAATTTTTCTCATTGCAGCACAAAACTCAGAAGTTTTCTTAGCTTCGTCAACACCTTATGGAAACAGGAGATGCTCCAAGGCGTGGATTTAACCGATATTCGGATAAAATGCATTTGTAACTCGTTGGAAGCGCGTCGATATCATTAGATGTTAAGACGCAACATTGGAGCCTGGCCTTGAACACCGTTCAGCAGGACTAGCAACTCCTCGCTGACCAACGATCTACTTGCAGCTATATTTGACGCATCTTTCTCAACCTACTAGTCAAATTGTGTCTACTGCATCAACGTGCTTTGCCGATTTGAGTCATTCTGCACGGAAGTAAAGCAACAATTTGATTTGCAGCCCTACACTCAGGATTTTTGTACTCCTTTGTATAATTCAGTTGAATACAATAAACTTCTGCAATTCTTACATCTGTGACTGCCTGCAGGACCTCTCTGCTCGCGAAGTGCAGCATGCATCACCACATTTTTCAACCGATGTAGGTAACACATAAGTAGCACAGCAAAGGCTAACCTAAGTGATTCTAGTGCACTTAATGAACATTTAATATAAAAACTTTCGTTTCTACACTTATAATTGTTAGTGGACGTCTTCGTTGTGTATAGTCGGATCATGTCGATGCAAATGGTCAAAAAGGAAGCGCTTCGTGAACCACGAACATATTGCTCCAGTGGTTTTATCAAAAAACTTCTAGGAATGTGAATAATTAGGGGTTCAGTTTGAATGGGAAATAGTATGCAGTCATATGGACACAACTGTAGATCAGTTCGAGGCAAGTTAATCGTTTAATCACTGGGCACCACCAGATACCACGAAGTGTACAGCTCCACAGTCGTTCGCTTAGATTGGTTGGTTAAGCAATAGAAATTGTTGTGCATAATAAAATTTTATAAAGCAAAACAAGACGTGTAATAAACCAAATTATGTGGGGCTTCGTGTCTTTATTGATATGCACTGATTCACAAACCACGCCACACACCTCCTCCTTTTGTAGCACAACCTCCTGCGTGTTGACTCCATCCGCAGAATACATTCTGAGTAGACATCAGCATCATTGTTCTGTGGAGTGCATTTCATGCAAACATTGGCGGCCATTTTGTTGGCGCTAGCACGCCATCTGGAGAGAAATTGGGTATTCTAGTACAATTTACTTACACTAAGCGCATTGTTGTACTTACAAAGCGCTGCAATGGGACGAAACCGTTACAAAACTGTGCTTCGCGTTACTGCGATACTAGTCCGGTGAATTCCTCAGCTCTGTTTTAATGACGACTTAGTTAGCAATCAGTGTTGTCGCTGTGAGTGCTTTTCCACCTCACATAGGCAACGTGTGTGAAGTTGTTGCCTCTGCATTTTCATATACCTCGACGTAGTATTTTTACCTATCTGAGACAGCAATATGAGACTCGACGGGAATTTGCTGCACACCCTACCTCGCATTTCGACAGACATCTTTGCTGCAATTGTAATTATTAAGCACAAAACAAAGGAAAATAAAGTCAAAACAATGCAAATGGTGTTTTGGACAAAATTGTGTGGGGCTTTGTGTCTGCATTGACACAATCTCTCAATGTAGATCGACAAAGCGCCACGACACCCTGCCTCACATCTATCGACTCACTAATCACGCCACACGACACCGCCGCCGCCTTTATACCTCGACCTCCTGTCTATTGATGAAAATGCCGAAATTTAAACTCTGAACTGCCAAAGCTTGTAACCCGTGAGACCTGGTTGGTGTCGAAATCGCACGAGCGCATCTATACCAATGGTGACGCTGAGCCGCGCTCAACCTATTTTCACATTTCCCTGAGACCGGTCAATGGTGCGCACGAGCGTGTGTGACGCCAGACAAGTCTCAAGACACAGTGAGTTGAAAGGTCAAAGTTGAAAGTTCGCCAGTTCAGTCGATGGGCTATGTGGCTCTTACAGGTATCGTTTAACTGATTCGCACGCGCATTATCAGTTTTAACCATAGCATTATCTCCACAAGTGGCAAAGTTCAGATGGAAAGTGAAACAATGGCAACCCGTGTTTGTGAGGAGGTTGTGTCAGTTGGTGAGCAGCTTCCAGGCCAGTTGCATTCACACTTCTATGAAAACGGTTTAGAGGCAGCATTATTGTCGGTGAACACGCGCGTTTGCGAAAGCAACCAAGTCTCACGCGTGAGGAGGGTTGGCAGTTCAAAGGTTAAAGTTCGGCAGTCCAATCAATAGGCAGGAGGTCGTGGTATAAATGCGGCGGTGTCGTGTGGGGTGGTTAGTGAGTCGACGGATGTGAGGCAGAGTGTCGTGGCGCTTTGTTTATCTGCATTGAGAGATTGTGTCAGTGCAGATTCGAAGCCTCACACGATTCTGTCCAGAGCGTCGTCTTCGTGTTTTGGTTTATTTTCTGTTAGATATTTTTGTGTACAAATATTTTAGCTGTAGGACGTATGCTGACGGAAGAAAGGGATTGATTAATCCAAAAGATGGCAGCTGATTGGCAAAATTAGTCCTTTTGAATTTCAGTGTAGCCGGAATTCGCTGTTAGTAAGGGCTCACGAAATAAACTCATAATTTGCTTCCACGTTGTCCCTAGTTGAATCCACAAAAGCATTTAGCTTATCAGTTTCAATCTTCGAAGCTTTGAAGTAGAAATGTTATTGTCATGTGGTTGTGCAGTCTTTGTCTTCAGTGGATTGGACGTGAGTTGCAAATTCTGTTGAAGGTCGGGTTTTCTTCTAGGATGCTTCTTTCAGACACAATAGACGTTTTCTCAGAATACCGCAGAATTTCTGTTGTTCATTGTAGCCGTTTCCTTCAGCCGTAAAGTGGCTCATTGCAAG